AAAACCAGAAGTGGCGCTGTGGCTCAAGTGGTAGAACACCAGCCTTGAGCAGAAAAGAGCTCAGGGACAGCGCCCAGGCCCAGAGTTCAAGCCCCACAACCGACCAAAATTAAAAACAAACCAGAATCACCAGAAGAGACTGCCTGTGTGGATTGCTCATCGTATGTCAGAGACACACTTCCTCCTGATCTGGGCTCTCAGTACCCACAATGCTTTGCAGAGGGTGCCATGCTGATTGATCACGTGGCCGACGCCCACCTGAGCCAGGTGTCCTCATCTGGCACCCAGCATGCTTTGCAGCGGGCAGCATCACTGCCTCCCTTTTCCCCGAGTGCTATGGAAGGGGCTGCACAGCTAGAAAGCAGACAGGGACGACGCCCTTGAGGAAGGAGGGAAGGAGAGAGGCAGGGGGGAAGAAGGGAAAGAGAGATAAGGAGGGAAAGAAGGAAATAGGAAGGGAGGGAGGGAAAGAAGAAGGAAGGAGGGGAGGGAGAAAGGAAGGGGAGGGAAGGAAGGAAGGAAGGAAGGAAGGAAGGAAGGAAGGAAGGAAGGAAGGAAGGAAGGAAGGAAGGAAGGAAGGAAGGAAAGAAGGAAGGAAGGAAGGGAGGGAGGGAGGGAGGGAGGGAGGGAAGGGAGGGAGGGAAGGAGGAAGGGAGGGAGGAAGGAAAGAAGGAAGAGAGGGAGAGAGGGAGGGAGGGAGGAAGGAAGAAGAAGGAAGGAAGGAAGGAAGGGAAGGAGGGAGGGAGGGAGGAGGAAGGAAAGAAGGAAGGGAGGAAGGAAGGAAGGGAAGGAAGGGAGGGAGGGAGGAAGGAAAGAAGGAAGGGAGGAAGGAAGGAAGGAAGGGAGGAAGGGAGGGAGGGAGGGAGGGAAGAAGGGAGGGAGGGAGGGAGGGAAGAAGGGAGGGAGGGAGAAGGAAGGGAGGAATGGAGGGAAGGAGGAAGGGAGGGAGGAAGGAAGGAAGGGAGGAAGGAAGGAAGGGGGAGGAAGGGGAAGGAAGGAAGAAGGAGGAATGGAGGGAAGGAGGAAGGGAGGGAGGAAGGAAGGAAGAAAGGGAGGAAGGAAGGAAGGAAGGAAGGAAGGGAGGAATGGAGGGAAGGAGGAAGGGAAAGAAAGAAGGAGGGGAGGGAGGGAGGAAGGAAGGGAGGAAGGAAGGAAGAGAGGGAGGGAGGAAGGAAGGGAGGAATGGAGGGAAGGAGGAAGGGAGGGAAGGAGGAAGGAAGGAAGGGAGGGAGGAAGGAAGGAAGGAAGGGGGAGGAAGGGGAAGGAAGGTAGGAAGGAAAGAAGGAAGGAATGAAGAAATGGAAGAATGGAGGGAGGAAGGAAGAGAGGGAGAGAAGAAAGAGGGAGGGAGGGAGGAAAGAAAGAAGGGAGGGAGGGAGAGAGGAAGGGAGGAAGGAAAGAAAGAAGGGAGGGAGGGAGAGAGGAAGGAAGGAAGGAAAGAGGGAAAGAAGGGAGGGAGGGAGAGGAAGGAAGGAGGGAAGGAAGGAGGGAGGAAGGGAAGAAAGGAGGGGGAAAGGAAGGAAAGAAGGAGGGGAGCAAGAGAGGAAGAAGGGAGAGGAAGAAGAGGAAGGAAGGAGGGAGGAAGGGAGGAAAGGAGGGAGAAAGGAAGAAAAGAAGGAAGGGAGGGAAGGAGGAAGGGAAGGAGATTGGGAGGGAGGGAAGAAGAGAGGAAGGGAAAGAGGGAAGGAGGGAGGGAGGGGGGGGAGATGGATGTACCAATGCTACAAAGAAGAGGCCTGTATTTTGGCGGGCAGGCTGGGCGGCGCTTACCTGTGGGCAGACAGCGCTCGGGCTGCTTTCTGGGGGGGGTGTCACCGTCCAGGGACCCCGGGCCATGGTGCAGGTCCACAGTGCTGCACTCCGAGAGCATGCTGCCCGCGTCCGACTTCTGCACACGACAACCCAGGGAACTGTCACTCCCCAATCTGTCTAACCACACTGGCTCCTTGTCACCTAAGTGGCCAAGGATGGGACCAGCCAGACACAAGAGGTAACAAGCAATGGCCTGTTCCCCGGGGGGTCCTGTGCCACGCCATCTGGTCAACCCGATTCCCTCTCCATACAGCATGGCGTGGGAAGACACAGGGTCTGGCCCGCGCTGGGGGCTCAGGGGCCAGCGAGGCTGTTCGTGCATTGTGTGGACGCTAAGCTTGCCCGGCTACTTCAGCTCCTGGACAGCAGGGCTTGCCCACCGCATCACCCTGGTGTTGGATCATATCTAGAGATAAGGTTTAAAGGATCCCGAGGAAGCAGCCACTCATGGTACTGAGTCATTACCCAGCCATGCTGCTGACATTCTACACTTTCCCAAAACATAAAACTACTACATAGATAACGGTCCCGCCCCAAACGTCAGACAGTACGTCATACACGCTCAACTACATATCCTACATTATGTATGCCAAACTACGTGCTAGATATGTGTTAGACTATATGTTCTATCTGTTAAACTATATATTCTATAACATGTGTTAGACTATATATTGTATATATTATACGTTCGACTATATATTATATGTGTTAGACTACATATTGTATATTAGGTTAGACTATAGGATGTATATATCGTATATATTATATGTGTTAGACCATATATTGTATGTATTTTATATTAGACTATATGTTGTATACGATATAGCTTACACTATATATTATATAGTTATATATTATATATAGTTATATAACATATATGTTAGACTAGACAGTGTATATATTATGTTAGACTATATATTGTATATATTATATATGTATGTGTTATATATTATATATTGTAAATTGTATGTATTTTATGTTAGACTATATGTTGTATATGACATCTTAGACTATATAATATATATGTAGGCTATATATTATATAACATATATGTTCACAATATATTATATGCAATACATGTTAGAATAGGTATTATAGATGTATGTTATTTATGTTAGAGTATATTACATATATGGATATATTATGCCTTTTAGACTATATTACTTATATTACATATATATAGAGAGAGACTATTATATGTATTCAAAAATTGCATATTAGCCAGACGCTGGTGGCTCACACCTGTCATCCTAGCTACTCAGGAGGCTGAGATCTGAGGATCAAGGTTCAAAGCCAGCCCGGGCAGGAGAGACCGTGAGACTCCTATCTCCAATAAACCACCAGAAAACCAGAAGTGGCGCTGTAGCTCAAGTGGTAGAGCGCTCACCTTGAGCTGAAGAGCTGAGGGACAGTGCTCAGACCCAGAGTTCAAGCACCACGACCAACAAAAAAAAATTGTATATTACATATTATATATTAGACTATGTATTGCAAGCACTTTACCACTTGAGCTACAGCGCCACTTCTGGTTTTCTGGTGGTTTACTGGAGATAGGAGTCTCACGGTCTTTCCTGCCCAGGCTGGCTTTGAACTGCGATCCTCAGATCTCAGCTTCCTGAGTAGCTAGGATGACAGACATGAGCCACCAGCGTCTGGCTAATATACAATTTTTGAATACATATAATAGTCTAATTTATAATATGTAATATAAGTAATATAGTCTAAAACATATTATGTAGACTGCATATTATATGTGTATTTTACCTGTTAGACTATATATTACAAATATTTATGTATATATGTTAGACTATACATTATTTATTTTATATATTATATATTGTTAGACTGTATATATTAGCTTAGACTATTACATATGTTAGACTACATATTACATATCATATATCATATGGTATATGTTAGATCATGTATCATATACTACATGTTAGGCTATATATATGTTAGACTATATCTTGTATATATTATATGTTACACTATATATTATATATGCTAGACTATGTATTATATAACTTATATGTTAGACTATATGTCATAAATTATGTATGTTAAGCTTTATAGTCAATACGTTGTTAGACTATATATATGTCAGACTATATGTTGTATGCTACTTATATTACACTATATAATTATATATATTACATGTTATATACATTATTCTATATGTATGTTAGACTATATTTATATTACATATATGCTAAACTAAGTATTGTATATATTTATATTTATTTCTCTTTATAGAAACAATTTGTGGCTCTACTGGGGCTTGAATTCAGGGCCTCATGGTCTCACTTGATTTTTTTTCACTCAAGGTTGGTTCTCTATCACTTGAGTCACACCTCTACCTCTGGTTTTGGCTGCTTATTAGAAGATCACAAGTCTCACGGCCTTTCCTGCCCAGGCTGGCCTCAAACCACAATCCTCCAACCTCAGGAGCTAGGATGACAGGTGTGAGCCACCAGGGCCCAGCTCTGTGTCTTTGCCTACGACACCACTCTAGTGGTTTTTCCATACATTAATCCTGGCAATATTCTATAACGGCTATTCTAGATAAGGCGGGGGGTGGGGGGCCGTGGAAACACATGTTCCTTCTGACGATCCATGAGGAAAATTACCTTCCGTGGATTCTGTATGGCCAAAGTAGTGTCTTCTTCGGGAAACACTTCAATTTCCACCGCCAGTTCTCCTGGGCTGGTGGATATTTTGGTCTCCTGAGAAGGACCACAGACCTGATAACAGAGGAGAGTTGGGAGTGGGGTTGATATTCTCGCTGGAAACCTCGCTTGCTGTGAAACCAACACACTTGGTTTTCTGTTTGCCATGAGAATAATCTGTGACGTTATTTATTTATCTTTGTTAGTGGTGGGGCTTGAACTCTGGGCCTGGGCGCTGTCCCTGAGCTCTTCAGCTCAAGGGTAGCACTCTATCTCTTGAGCCAGGGCACCACTTCCAGTTTTCTGAGTGGCTTATTGGAGATCAGAGTCTCACAGACGTTCCTGGCTTTGAACCGCGATCCTCTAAATCTCAGCCTCCTGAGTAGCCGGCTCAGTAAGTGTGAGCTGCCAGCGTCCATCTGGCCACCAGATTTAAAAACCCTTAAAGCCCTGGCCTGGTGGTAAGACTCAGGCAGGTGGTGACTTGAGTTCGCCATGTCTGGTGAACCCTCAGTCACTGTTAGACCCTTCTCACCTGTCTTTCAGCCCTGGGTGGAGTGGTGGGCAAGGCATTATCCTCATCCAAATCTTCCACATCCGATTCTTCCTCTGCCAGTGGGGCCAGTGGGATCCGATCGTGCCCCGGGCCAGAAGTCTTCCGGGCTGGTTTGAGCCCATCCAGCTCCTCCCAGGACTTGAATCCTCCCGTTTTCATCTCAGTGACCAAAGGATTCATGTCTTTGTTCTCGGCAGCATAGTTTTCCATCGTCCCTTCTTGCCTCCTGCGTGCCTGGCAGCAGATACGCTGGAGAGTTCGGAGCAGAAAGGCAAAGGCCTTCTGGAAGCGCACCATGGCCAGCTGGACCTTGGTTTGCCTGCCCTCGCCGCCCGGGTTTCCGTCTCTCTCCTCGTTGCTGAAGGAGTTGAGCAGCAAGGCGATGAAGAGGTTGAGCACCTGCAAGTAGAGTCGGAGAGAAAGGGAGCAGGGGGAAGGGGGGGGAAACTGAGGTACCAATGATGGGCGAGGACAAAATTTCCCCTCTCCCACCCTCCCGTCCCAGGAGTCAAACTCCAACCAGGAAAGCCAGGCGGTAGCGCCTGTCATCCCGGCTACCCAGGAGGCTGAGGATCTGGAGGATCGTGGTTAGAGGCCAGCCCCGGGGGCAGGGAAAGTCTGTGAGACTCTTTCATCTCCAATGAGCCACCAGGAAACCAGAAGTGGGGCCATGTAAGGCTCAATATGGGAGAGCGCCAGCCTTGAGTGAAAGAAGCTCAGGGACAGAGCCCAGGCCATGAGTTCAAGTCCTGGGACACACACACACACACACACACACACACACACACACACGATAAATCCGCCAGACTGTGACAGCTCACCACAAGCTTCCCGATCACCATGATGGACAGGAAGACAATGATGCACAGCGTCCACCGCGCGGTGTTCATGCATTCCCACATGTTCTCGATCCACTCCCCACACAGGATGCGGAACACCACCAGGAAGGAGTGGTAGAAGTCACCCATGTGCCAGCGCCGGGCGCACAGGCGCTCCTCCGCTCTGCACATCGTCACGTTCTTCTTGGCACAGAAAGTATTGCCGAAGAGCTGCATGCCCACCACGGCGAAGATAAACACCACGATGGCCAGCACCACCGTCAGGTTGCCCAGCGCGCCCACCGAGTGGCCGATGATCTTGATGAGTGTGTTCAGGGTGGGCCAGGACTTGGCCAGCTTGAAGACCCGCAGCTGGTTGGAAAAAAAATGAGCATAACCAAAAATGAATGAATGAATGAATGAATGAATGAATGAACAGGACAACCAAGAAAAAGAAAAAAGCCTGTGAACGGCCAATGGATCTTCCTAAAGGATAGCGTAGGCAAGCCTGTCATCCCAACAACTCAGGAGGCTGAGATCTGAGGATCCAGGTTCAAAGCCAGCCCCAAGCAGACAAAAAAAAAATCCATGAGATTTTTATGTCCAATTCATCAGCAAAAAGCTGGAAGTGGACTGTGTGGCTCAAGTGGTAGAGCACCAGCTCTGGGTAGAAAAGCCAAGCAAGAGGACAAAAGTCCTGAGTTCAGGTTCCAGTACTCATGTGACCAGGATTGGGGGGGGGAGAGAGGAAGGTCAGAGAGAGGGATGGAGGGAGGAAGGAGGAAGGAAGGAGAGAAGGAGGAGGGAGGGAGGGAGGAAGGGAGGGGGGAGAAAGGAGGAGGGAGGAAGAAGAGATGAAGTGGGGAGGGAGGAAGAGAGGGAGGGAAGGAGGGAGAGAAAGAGGAGGGAGGAAGAGGGAGAGATGGGGAGGAAGGAGAAAGGGAGGAAGTGGGGACAGAGGAAGGGAAGAGGAAGGGAGAGACGGCAGGAGGAAGGGAGAGAGGGAGGGGGAGAGAGGGAGGGAGCTCACCACTCTGAAGGAGCGAAAGAAAGACCAGTGCTGGTTGGAGAGGTTGATCATGACGTCGACAAAGCTCAGAAGAGCAACGATGAAATCGAAGATGTTCCAGCCATGGCGGAAGTAGTGGTAGGGATCGAGTGCTATGATCTTCAGGAACATCTCGGCGATGAAAATGCCAGTGAAAACCTGCCGCGGGGTGCAGGAGAAGGAGACGAGGAGTGGCAGAGCATCCTTGTTGAAGAATGGCTCAGGAAGCCGGGCGCCGCCACTGGCTCACACCTGTCATCCTAGCTACTCAGGAGACAGAGCTGAGGATCACGGTTCAAAGCCAGCCAGGGCAGGAAAGTCCATGAGACTCTGATCGCCAATGAACCATCCAAGCAAAAAGCCAGAAGTGCCGCTGTGGCTCAAGTGGTAAAGAGCTAGGCGTGAACACAAAAGCTCAGAGACAGTGCCCAGGCCCTGAGTTCAATTCCAGCACCAACACAAAAACAAATGAACCAACAAACAAACAATAAATAAATGGTTCCACGGACCAGCATGGCTGTGTGAAGAAGCCGGGCTCAAAAGGTCACAAGCTACGAGCCTCCTCTCCTAGATGATCCTAAACCCAAAGCAGAAATACATACAATTCACAGATGAATAGGCAGATGAATGACAGATAGATAGACACATGGATGGATGGATGGATGGATGATAGGTAGGTGATAGATAATAGATGCGTGCATAGATGATAGGCAGATGGATGATATAGATACATGATATATATATGATAATAGATACATAGATCATATAAAGATAGACCATAGATGAAGGAGGGAAGGAAGAAAAGAAAGGGAGGGATGGAGGGAGAGAAAAAGGAAGAAGGAAGAGAGGAAGGGAGGGAGAGAGGGAAGGAGGAAAGGAGGGAGGGAAAGATATTTATAATAGTAAGACTGTTTAGAGGGAAAGAGGGAGACTATTGAGAGTAAATACCGAAATACATTGCATCTATGCATGAAGACGGGAAGGGGAAAGCTAACAGTCACTAAAAGCCGTTGGCACCTGGGGGCACGAGAAAGAGAAAGAGTGGGGAGATTGATGGTGGGTCCCCTTTGAACCAGGAGCACACACTTTTGAATCCCTCTTTGTTTTGCATTATGATGATGATCTTGGTGTAGCCACAGAGTGGCTTCAATTCAATATATCAGTTCATGAGTACGATGCATGTTTTTGGTCATTCATGGGGCTTGAACTCAGGGCCTGGGCTCTGTCCCTGAGCACTCTCCCACTTGGAGCCATATATATGGCACCACTTCCGGTTTTCTGGTGGTTCCTTGGAGATGAGAGTCTCACGGACTTTCCGGCCCCGGGATGAGCCTCCAAATGCTGTCATCCAAATCTCAGCCTCCTGAGTAGGTAGGATGACAGCCATGAAGTACCATCATCACCCAATCTGGATTTGAGTAAGGTTTTTGTTTGTTTGTTTAGAGAAGTTACCTCCCTGTTCCAATTCTTTTTTTTTTCGGGGGGGGGGGGAGAGTGTCTGGTCGTGGGCCTAAACTCTGGGCCTGGGTGCTGTCCCTCAGCTCTTCAGCTAGCGCTCTACCACTTGAGCCACAGCGCCACTTCCAGCTTTTTTCCTTTTTGCTTATGTGGTGCTGGGGAATCGAACCCAGGGCCTCAGGTATGCAAGGCAAGCGCTCTACCACCGAGCCACCTTCCCAGCCCCCCTGTTCCAATTCTTACGGGAACCCAAGACCCCATTTTGTTCATATAACTTAACACAATTTCCAAGATGCTTGATTGGTTTGCTGAGAGGAAGCAATTACCCAGTTGCCCGTTCTCAGGATGGTGTGCAGCTCCTCCGGCATCTGGTGGTACTCCATGGCTAGGAAGACGGTGTTGGTGATGATGCAGATGGTGATGGCCAGTTCGGTGAAGGGGTCCATCATGACCAGTCGCAGCCCCTTCTTGATGCACACCCAGTGTGGGCTGCAGTTCCACACCAGGTATCTGGACGCCATGTTTTCCCCACAGGGGAGACAAGGCTCCTGGGATTTTTCTTTTTCTAGGGAAGAATGAAAAGAATTCAAATTCAACTTGCCCAGCAGTGAGGCTGACTGAGCTTTTTGTTGTCAGGGGTAAGGTTTGAACTCAGTCCCTGAGCTCTTTCACTCAAGGCTGGCGCTCTACCATATATATGCTGCCACTTCCGGTTTCCCATATAGATATATATGGCACCACTTCCGGTTTTCTGGTGGTTCCTTGGAGATGAGGGTCTCACAGACTTTCCTTCCCTGGACTGACTTGGAACCACAATTCTCCAGATCTCAGCCTCCTGATAAGCTGGGATGACAGGCGTGAGCCATGGGTGCCCAACTCCTGAATGACTTTTGCTTGGCTTTCGTCCCTCCTTCTTGGTCTTTTGAGATAGATAATCTAATGAAGGCACTGTGGCTCATTCCTGTCATCCTGGTTTGAAACCAACCCAGGCCAAAAAGGCCGTGATACTCTTATCTCCAATGAACTAGCCCAAAGCCAGAAGTGGACTTGTGGCTTAAGTGGTAGACCGTCAGCCTTCAGTGAAAATAATAATAGTAATAATAATAATAACAACAACTAAGGGACAGAATTTAGGTCCTGAGTTCAAGCCTCCACAGCAGCACAATAATCATGATCCTAAGGCTAAGAGCTAGAGCCCAGGTGGCTCATGCTTGTAATTCTAGCTATTTAGGAGGCTGAGATCCGAGGATCATGGTTCGAAGCCAGACACGGCAGAAAAAGACTGTGAGACTCTTTTCTCTGGTGAACTAGCAAAAATCCAGAAGTGGTGCTGTGGCTCGAGTGGTAGGGTGCCCTGAGTTCAAGTCCCACGACTGACCAAAAAGTCTCATCCTACATCTAGCTAGTTGCACAATTCAAGACTGACTCAGAATAGTATTGAGCTCAAGAAAGAGGGTTTTGGGGGGTGTTTTTTTTCTTTTTATGCCAGTCCTGGGGCTTGAACTTGGGGCCTGAGCGCTGTCCCTGAGCTTCTTTGGCTCAAGGCTGGTGCTCTACTACTTGATCCACAGCGCCACTTCCAGCTTTTTCTGTGTATGTGGTGCCGAGGAATCGAACCCGGGGCTTCATGCATGTGAGGCAAGCACTCTACCACTAAGCCACCTTCCCAGCCCAGGGGAGCCATTTTCTCCAAGCCACTTTGCTTCCATGACCTCAAGAGGGAGAAGACGTCATTCTCTGTAGGATGATACAGGGGGTTGCTTCCCCACCACCACCACTGGGTGCAGTGAAGTGGGTACACTCCTGGAGGACCGAGGAGGGAAGAATGCAGAAGGGCCTGGAGTCAAGTTCCCTCCTGGGACTCGCCAATGGGCCTCACCTTGCATGGTGATGGTGAGAATGCTCACGGCGCTCAGCGCCCTCTGTCTCTGCAGAGGGTCGGCATGCTCATCAAACAGATCCACGGGCACAGTCTGGGACAGACGTTTGGTTTGCTGGAGAAGGCGTGGCTGCAAGAAAGGCCATCATGAGCCTTTATGCATCTATTCATTTATGTCTTTATTTTTGCCAGTCCTGGGACTCAACCTCAGGGCCTGGGCACTGTCCCTGAGCCTCTTTGTGCTCAAGGCTGGTGCTCTACCACTTTGAGCTACATGTGTGTGTGTGTGTGTGTGTGTGTGTGTGTGTGTGTGTGTGTGTGTGTCTGTGTGTGTGTGTATGGCGCCACTTCAGGTTTCCTGGTGGTTCCTTGGAGATTAAGAGTCTCATGGGCTTTCCTGCCCCAGGCTGGCTTTGAACCGCCATCCTCCAGATCTCAGCCTCCTGAGTCGCTAGGATGACAGGCGTGAGCCATGGACACTCTGGTGGAACTGTGTACTTTCTAGCTCCTAGCAAATTGCAACCAGTGCTCAAATAGGTTCATAAACACATGGGAGTTGGAGACAAGTGATTTTTAGGGAGTGTGTGCAAATGGGGAAATGGGGAAATGGATGGATGAATCCCCAGCAACCCATCCTCAGGACATCGACCCCCCCCCCCACAACCCGCCCTCCACACCCCAGATGCCTCGAATTCCTTACATTTCTGGTAGATTCTTCATCGGAATCTGACCCTGGAGAGGGGTCTTTCCTGGATTTCCTTAACAAGAACGATTGCCTTTGCTTCTTGCCGAAGAACTTCCTTTTCGTGGGGGAAAAGGATGAGGCTTGTAGGGAGTTCAGCGACGTCCGGTCCATGCCCATGGCGACCAGCGCCTTAGGAAAATGAACAATACAAGTGAAGGAAGTTGAGGGCCCAGGGCTCACGTCTGTCATCCTAGCGACTCAGGAGGTTGAGATCTGAGGATCGCGGTTCAAAGCCAGCCCGGGTAGGAAGGTCCATGAGACTCTGATCTCCAAGGAACCACCAGAAAACCAGAAGTGATGCTGTGGTTCAAGTGGTAGAGCACCAGCCTTGAACTGAAGTGCTGAGGGACAGAGCCCAGAGGACAGGGGAGGGGAGGAGGGAGAGGACAGGAGAGGAGGGGGCAGGCCGTACCTCCTTCTCCTCCCGCAGCAGCTGCTGGGCCTCCTGGAACATCCTCTCCTTGGCCTGGGTCTCGGCGGCCACGTTGTGGTTCTGCTCCTCATACGCCATGGTGACCACAGCCAGGGTGAGGTTGAGCAGGTAGAAGGAGCCCAGCAGGATGACCATCACGAAGAAGAACACGTAATACAGCCCGGACGTGCGCAGCGTCTGCCAGGGACGGGAGCCACATTTGCATCTCATTTGCATCTCATTTGCATGCTATCTGGAGGATGGCAGTTCAAAATTAAGGAAAGTCTGAGAGACTCTGATCTCCATATATACATACATAGAGAGAGAGAGCGCACCATATAGAATATAGAGAGAGAGCCATATATATGGTTCCATGTCCAGTTTTCTGGTGGTTCATTGGTGATCAGAGTCTCACAGACTTTCCTGCCCAGGCTGGCTTTGAACCATGATCCTCCGGATCTCAGCTTCCTGAGTAGCTAGGATGACCGGTGTGAGGCATCAGTGCCTGGCAAATGTTAGAGTTGTTTTGTTTGTTTGTTTTGTCAAATAATAGATCCGGAGGGAGATCATGGCGGAAAGAGAGGAGCAGGGCGTATGGATGGCTAACCTGTCGGTACAGTTTCTCCCAAGAATCCTGGGTCATGAGCCGGAACATGGCAAGAAAAGACCAGCCAAAGTTGTCAAAGTTCGTGAAGCCATGGTCAGGATTCACTCGAGTTTTGTTGCATTTAGAGTTATTGGGACAAGATCTAGATTGGGGAAACAGAGGGACAGAGAAGGAATCATTGTCATCCCAACCCAACCCTCTCTCCATCCATAACAAAGTACTTTTTTTTCTTTATCTTTAGTGTCAGTCGTGGGGCTTGAACTCTGGGCCTGGGTACTGTCCCTGAGCTTCTTCAGTTCAAAGCTGGCGCTCTTACCACTTGAGCCATAACACCATTTCTGGTTTTTTGGCAATTCAATGGAGATCAGAATCTCACGGACTCCCCTGCCCGGGCTGGCTTTGAACAGAGATCCTCAGATCCCAGTCTCCTGAGTAGCTAGGATGAGAGGCATGAGCCACTGTCATCCTAAACATGATCATTTCCCAATTGTTCTCCAGTGAATTGATTAATACTGTCATATTAGCAGCTTTTCGTGGAAATAGGAAGAGTACTCCTAGCTACTCAGGAGGCTCAGATCAAGAGGATCACAGTTGAAGGCCAGCCCCAGGCAGGAAAGTCCATGAGACTCTATCTCCAATGAACCACCAGAAAACCGGAAGTGGTGCCATATATATAGCTTAAAGTGATAGAGTGCTAGCCTTGAGCAAAAGAGCTCAAGGTCAGCACCCAGGCCCTGAGTTCAAGTCCCACAACTGACAAAAATCAAGCAAACAACAAAACCAGCACTGATTAAGGAGTGTCACCATTGTTTCCTTCCGTACGTGTGGAACTTGCATGCACACAATTCTACAAGATCTGGAAGCTTTCTGCTTGGTAGTAAAATGGAGCATTTCAACCTCTTACCTGCTACCAACCCACATGCCACACATTATGAATTCTTTGTCATTTTCTTTTTCAAAGCAAGTCTCTGAGAGAAGAAAAAAAGCAAATTCAGATTTAAAAAAAAAAAAAACATTGAAGTGAAAAAGAACAGAACTCATGACAGATTATCCCTATTCTTTTTGGTTTTGTTTTGTTTTTTTGGTCGGTCGTGGGACCTGAACTCTGGGCCTGGGCGCTGTCCCTCAGCTCTTCAGCTCAAGGCGAGCACTCTACCTCTTGAGCCACAGCGCCACTTCCGGTTTTCTGGTGGTTTATTGGAGATAAGAGTCTCACAGATTTTCCTGCCCGGGCTGGCTTTGAACCGCGATCCTCAGATTTCAGCCTCCTGAGTAGCTAGGATTACAGGCGTGAGCCCCCAGCGCCCGGCTATCCCTATTCTTTAATTATTGTGTTTTTGTCTACCACTCACCTATTAATCCCTTCCCCTAGCCATCTCCCACTCATCCATTCAGATAGCCTCTATCTGCTCACTGTCTTATCCATCCACCCATCAACCACCCATCCACCCATCCATCCATCCACCTACCCACCCACCCATCCATCCACCCATCCACCCACCCACCCATCTATCCACCCATCCACCCATCCACCCATCCATCCACTCACCCTCTTATCCATCCATCCACCCACCCATCCATCCACCCACCCATCCATCCACCCATCCATCCATCCACCTACCCACCCACCCATCCATCCACCCATCCACCCACCCACCCATCTATCCACCCATCCACCCATCCACCCATCCATCCACTCACCCTCTTATCCATCCATCCACCCACCCATCCACCCATCCACCCACCCATCCACCCACCCATCCATCCACTCACCCATCCATCCATCTACCCACCCATCCACCCAACTATCCATCCACCCACCCATCCATCCATCCACCCATCTATCCACCAACCCATCCATTCATCCACCCCTCCATCCACCCATCCATCCACTCACTCTCTTATCTATCCATCCTCCCATCTACCCATCCATCTATCCATCCACCCACCCATCCACCCATCCATTCTCCCATCCACCCAACTATCCATCTATACACCATTCACCTGCCCCATCTATCCATCCATTCATTTATCCATCCATCCACTCACCTAGCTATCTATCTATCCATCCACCCATCCATCCAACCAGCCACTCATTCACCCAGTTGCCTACTCATCAATCCATTCTACCCACCCATCCATCTACCCAACCATACATCTACCCACCCAGTCACTCACCCATCCACCCACCCATACATATATCCATTTTCCATCCACCCAACCATACATCTATCTATTTTCCACCCATCCACCTATCCATACATCCACCCACCCTCCATTTGTTTATCTATCCATTCATTCATCCACTCACCCACCCATCCATTCACCCAGCCACCTGCCCACCCATCCATCCATCTATCCATTCTACCCACTCATCTATCGGCCCAAACCATCCACCCATCCATTTATCCATTCACCCACTCACCTATCCATCTATCCATCCATCTACCCATCTTTCCACCCAACTATCCGCACATCCATCTATCCATTCATCCATCCACCCACCCACCTACCCATCCATCCACCCATCCACTCATCCATCCATTCACCCATCCATCCACCCATCCCCCCATCCATCTACCTATCCACCTACCCATCCATCCATACACCCACCCATGCACCACTTGCCCACTCATCCATTCATCTATTCATCCATCCATCCATTCATCCACCCACCCATTCACCCACCCACCTACCTACCCATCCATCTATCTAGCCAGCCAGTCACCTAAACATTAGCCAGCCAACCTGAGCAGACAAATGAGACTCATATCTCCAATTAAGCAGCAAAAAGCCAGAGGTGGAGTTGTGGCTCAAGTGGTAGAGAGCCAGCCCTAAGCAAAAAAAAAAAAAAAAAAGCTAGGGGGGTAGTATGGGGTAGTGCCGGGGTCCTGAGTTCAAGTCCCAGCACTAGCACACAACACAAAGAAGGAGAAGGAGGAGGAGGAGGAGGAGGAGGAGGAGGAGGAGGAGGAGGAGGAGGAGGAGGAGGAGGAGGAGCAGAAGAAGAAGAAGAAGAAGAAGAAGAAGAAGAAGAAGAAGAAGAAGAAGAAGAAGAAGAAGAAGAAGAAGAAGAAGAAGAAGAAGAAGAAGAAGAAGAAGAAGAAGAAGAAGGAGAAGAAGAAGAAGGAGAAGAAGAAGAAGAAGAAGAAGAAGGAAAGAAAGAAAGAAAGAGGAGGAGGAGGAGGAGACTGGCCATAATATTAAAATGGAATTCTATCTGAGCCATTCATTCAAAGGAGAGCATTAAACGTAGGTAATTCATTACCTAAGAAGTAGGTGATGGGAAGGAACCCGCACGGCCTCTACAGGCCAGAGGCGAGGCTTACCGTTGGTGGCCCAGTCGGTGGTGCCCGCACAGCTATCCTTGACACACTTCTGGTTCAGGTTTCCCATGAACAGCTGCTGGCCCACCAGAGCGAAGATGCTCAGACAGAACAAGGTGAGCACCATCACATCGACCAGCTTCTTCACCGAGCGCAGCAAGGCTCCCACAATGACCTTCAGGCCTGGGGAGAAGGACAAGGGGCTGGAGCGGCACCCAGTGTCTCCCATCGGAATCCGGCAAGAAGCCCGGCGGTGGGGGCACGCACCCTGTCCTCCTGGCCACTCAGGAGGCTGAGATCTAGAGGATCATGGTTCAAAGCCAGCCCAGGCAGGAAAGTCCAAGAGACTCTTTCTTCCAGTGGACCAGCAAAAAAAAGCCAGAGGGTGGAGGGAGTGGATCAAGCGGTAGAGCTCCAGCCTTGAGCATCAAAGCCAAGTAAGAGGGGGAGATTCTGAGTTCAAGCCCCAGGACTGGTGCGCACATGTGCATGCACACACACACACACACACACACACACACACACACACACAATCTTTTCTAAGAGATTTTAAAAACAAAAATCACTTACCTGACACTACGGAAATGGCCTTCAAGGCTCTGAACACGCGGAAGGTACGGATAGAGGACACGGGAGTCTGTGAGGCTGCGATCCTGTGAGGGAAACAGGAAAGCCCGTGAAAGGACTGCTTCTGGAAGGTTCTGCGCCATCTCTCTCCACAGAAGACCAAGGAAAGCAGAGGCCCAGCGTCCACGGCGCATGCCCACCACCCTGGAAATGGGCCGGGCTGTTGGGCTGCACCAGTGGGTGTAGAGAAATCCTTACAACAAGTGGGCTGTGCTGCGGCGGCTCACACCTGATCATCCCGGCTACTCAGGAGGCTGAGATCTGGAGGATCACAGTTCAAGGCCAGCCCCAGGCCAAGAAACCATCAGAAAACCGGACGTGGCGCCATCTATATGGCTCAAAGTGGTAGAGTGCCAGCCTTGAGCACAAAGAGGCTCAGGCCCTGAGTTCAAGCCCCAGGACTCACACACACACACACACACAGAGTGTTTTCCCATTGTCTTACGCCGTTCCGATGACAAAGGAATCCAACCAGTTCCAAGGGTCTCTGAGGAACGAGAACTCATCCAGGATAAAACCTCTGGCCAGTATCTTTATTATGGCTTCCAGAATGTAAATCCCGGTGAAAATGTATCTGTCCAAAAGAAGAGAAGACGGGGAGACGATGGCGGGAGAGGGAGGGACACGCAGCGGTCCCTCCACCTGATCTATTTCAATGAAGAATCGGACATCCAGGCCTCAGACAGAAAGCACACTTCAGGAAACGCAGAACCTTCCAGAGAGTTCTAGAATGTAGGGTTTTTGACAGACGGGCACCGCAGCCATAATTTTTTCTTTGTTCTCCCCCCCCCCACACACACACACACACTTTTGGGTCCAGAACTGAGGCTGGAACTCGAATTCTTGGCTTTGGCCGTCAGGGCTGGGCGCTCTACCACTTGAGCCACACCTCCACTTCCTGCTTCGGGCTGGTAACTTAGAGCTGAGAATCTTGTGGATTCGTTTTTTTGTCTCTCCCCCCCCCCCCCCCCCCCCCCCCCCGCCCAGGCTGGCTTTGAACTAACAAAGGCCTTCAGATCTCAGCCTAGTGACAAAGTAGGGTTACGGATATGAGATCGCAGGAACAAAATAATCCTGGGGGGAAAAGAAAGTTGAACCTGGGCACCGCCAGTGGCTCACGCCTGTCATCCCTAGCTCCTCAGGAGGCTGAGATCTGGAGGATCGCAGTTCAAAGCCAGCCCCCGGTCAAGGGGAAGTCCGTAAGACTCTGATCTCCAATGAACCAGCAAAAAGGCAGGAGTGGAGCTGTGGTTCAAGTGGTAGAGCACCCAGACTTGAGAGGAGGCGGAAAAAGCTTTAAGGACACTGTCCAGGCCCTACGATCAGAATAAGGAAGGAGAAATGAATACTTACTCAGCAATATTGGAGTTTTTGGAGCGAGCCATGAACACACAGTTGACGATCACCGTGCAGATGATGAACATGCTGAACAACGTGGCAGGGTGTCCATTAAGGCAGACACAAAGCAGGAGGAATTCCCCCTCCCTGGCCTTCCATTTCTACCCTATGTCTGTTCTCAAACGGGTGAAAGTTGGCTGGGAAAAAAAAAATCATAATAACTCCACACCCATCCCTTCCTCTAGAGAATGTATTTTTCTGGTGTCTGTACTGAGACTTGAACTCAGGACCCGGGGCCCTTGGGTTTGGGTATCTATCTGGTTCCAAGTGAAGGCCGGGCGAGGCATGGTGCCTCACGCCCCTCATCCCAGGTACTCCAGGAGGCTGAGATCCTGAGGATCGTGGTTCAAAGCCAGCCTGGGCAGGGAAGTCTCTTTTCTCCAATTAACTACCAAAGGGAAAGAGGCAGAGGTGGAACTGTGGCTCAAGTGGTAGAGCACTAGCCTTGAGTGTTTGCTTCCACGCCAACACGGACACGCCATGTGAGCAAGGATATGAGTGCACGGAGATCTGGATGGCAAGGCTCCGGATGGGGTGGAACGGGCCCAGGATAAACAAGGCCCGCTTGGCGCTGAAGCGGTAGATCGTCCTCTTCTTGTTCAGCACCATGAACGTCTGCGGGTGAGCCGAGCACAGAGCAGTATGCACCCACCCGGGTCCCCGGGCACCCGTGGCTGCCCCATGCCTCCTCGGGGAGGAGGCTGAGATCTGGAGGATCGAGGTTCCAAGCCAGCCCGACCCATGCCCAGAAAGACTCCAAGGAGACTGATCTCCAATGAACCAGCAAAAAAACAAAGAGCTGGACATGGCCGTGGCTCACATGGTAGAGCGCCCGCCAGCCGTGGATGAGAAAGAGCTCAGGGACAGTGCCTAGGGCCTGAGGGTCAACACACACACACACACACACACACACACACACACACACACACACACGAGCTTCCCGACCAGCTGTGTGTGGCCTGGAACTCACGGCCACGCGCCAGCTGGAGCTGTGACTTGGGTGGTATCGGGCCTGCCAGGCTCTGCATCCAGAGCTGCATGGAGATGGGCTTGGGCTTTGAACTCGGGGCTTTGGGGGTGGCTTTGTTGGGGGAGATGGGATGTTGTTTATTTTGGTTTTTGCTCAAGGCGGGCGCTCGACCATCTGAGCTACAGAGCCGGGTCTGGCTTTGGCTTTTCTTGGTGGTGGCTGGGAGATGTGGAGGCCTTGCTGGCCTGGCTGTCTGGGCCTCGTGCGGTGGTCCTCCGGCCTGGGCCTCCCCCGATCCCGGGGTCCCTCCCCTCCCCGGGGTCCCCCGCCCCGGCCCCCCACCTGGTGCGTGCGGTAGAAGGGGTCCAGGTCCTCCAGCGGCCTGGCCACCAGCTGGCTGGGGACGTCGCCGTAGAGCCTGGGCAGCCGCCGCGAGGCCTTGAGGTCGAGCTGCGGCCGGGCGGGCGCGGGGCGCTCGGGGCCGGCGTGCGCCCTGGACCCCCGCCGCGCCCGGGCCTGCGCCGCGCGCCGCCGCTCGATGGCCGCCAGCGACTCGGCCGTGAACGGGCGGAAGTTGCGCTCGTCCGGGAAGATGACCGGGCAGCCGCGCTCCGCCATGCCGGCCGGGCCTGCGGGGACGGGCGAGGCCGTGGGCGCGGGGCGGGCGCACCCCACCCGCATGCAAGCCCCACGCGCGAGTGCACACTGCACACACACGCGTGCGCACCCCACCCGCGTGCGCACACACTGCGCACCCCACCGCGTGCACACACACTGCACACCCCATCCGCGTGCGCACACACTGCGCACACCACCCGCATGCAAGCCCCACGCGCGAGTGCACACTGCACACACACGCGTGCGCACCCCACCCGCGTGCGCACACACTGCGCACCCCACCGCGTGCACACACTGCACACCCCATCCGCGTGCACACACACTGCACACCCCATCCGCGTGCACACACAATGCACACCCCGCCCGCGTGCGCACACACTGCGCACCCCCACCCGCGTGCACACACACTGCACACCCCACCCGCGTGCAAGCCCCACGCGCGAGTGCACACTGCACACACACGCGTGCGCACCCCACCCGCGTGCGCACACACTGCGCACCCCCACCGCGTGCACACACTGCACACCCCATCCGCGTGCACACACACTGCACACCCCATCCGCGTGCACACACAATGCACACCCCGCCCGCGTGCGCACACACTGCGCACCCCACCCGCATGCAAGCCCCACGCGCGAGTGCACACTGCACACACACACGTGCGCACCCCACCCGCGTGCGCAAACACTGCGCACCCCACCCGCGTGCACACACACTGCGCACCCCCACCCGCGTGCACACACAATGCACGCCCCATCCGTGTTCACACACTGCACACCCCACCCGGGTGCGCACACAATGCACGCCCCATCCGTGTTCACACACTGCACACCCCACCCGCGTGCACACACACTGCACACCCCACCCGCGTACACACACAATGCACACCTCACCCGCGTGCATACACAATGCACACCCCACCCGCGTGCACACACAATGCACACCCCACCCGCGTGCACACCCCACCCGTGTGCACACACTGCACACCCCACCCGCGTGCGCACACTGCACACCCCACCCGCGTGCACACACAATGCACGCCCCATCCGTGTTCACACACTGCACACCCCACCTGCGTGCACACACACTGCACATCCCACCCGCGTGCGCACCCACCCACATGCGCACCCCACCCGCGTGCGCACCCACCCACATGCGCACCCCACCCGTGTGCACACACAGCGCAGCCCACCCGCGTACACACCCCACCCGCGTGCACACCCCACCCGCGTACACACCCCACCCGCGTGCACACCCCACCCGCGTACACACCCCACCCGCGTGCGCACCCACCCACATGCGCACCCCACCCGCGTGCACACCCCACCCGTGTGCACACACTGCACACCCCACCTGCGAGCACACCCCACCCGCATACACACACTGCACACCCCACCCGCGTACACACACAATGCACGCCCCATCCGTGTTCACACACAATGCACGCCCCATCCGCGTGCACACCCCACCCGTGTGCACACACTGCACACCCCACCCGCGTGCACACCCCACCCGCGTGCGCACCCACCCACATGCGCACCCCACCCGCGTACACACTGCGCACCCCACCCGCGTGCACACACACTGCGCACCCCACCCGCGTGCACACCCACCCACATGCGCACCCCACCCGCGTGCGCACCCCACCCGCGTGCACACCCCACCCGCGTGCACACACACCCACATGCGCACCCTACCCGCGTGCACACACCACCCGTACACACACCCGCGTACACACCCCACCCGCTTGCATTCCCACCTGCATGCTGTGGCACTCCACCCGCTTGCACGCCCACCCACATGCACACCCCACCCACTTGCACGCCCACCCACATGCACACCCCACCCACTTGCACGCCCACCCACATGCACACCCCACCCACTTGCACGCCCACCCACATGTGCACCCCACCCGCTTGCACCCCCACCCACATGCACACCCCACCCACTTGCACGCCCACCCACATGCACACCCCCACCCACTTGCACGCCCACCCACATGCACACCCCACCCACTTGCACGCCCACCCACATGTGCACCCCACCCGCGTGCACACACCACCCGTACACACACCCGCGTACACACCCCACCCGCTTGCATTCCCACCTGCATGCTGTGGCACTCCACCCGCTTGCACGCCCACCCACATGCACACCCCACCCACTTGCACGCCCACCCACATGTGCACCCCACCCGCTTGCATGCCCCATCCGTACGCACACCCGCGTTTGCACCCCACCTGCTTGCACTCCCACCCACGTGCACACCCCACCTGCACGCACACCCCACCCGCCTGCACGCCCCACCCGCATGCACATGCACGTGTGAACACTTCACCCGCATGCACACGCACATACACACCCTGCCTTGTGCACACACACGTACACAGCCCACCCGCGTGCCCACCCCACCCACACGTGCACACGTGTGCACACACGCACACACGTGTGTGCACAGCCACCTGCATGCACACCTGGGCTGCATGCACACCTGAATTCCGTACACAAGCACATGTGTGCACACCCTACCCACGTGCACACCTGGGCTACGTGCACACACAGCGCACACCCCAGCCCTGTGCACATCCCAGCACCGTGTGCACACCCACCCGCGTGCACATCTCACCTATGTGTGCAGCCCAGCCCACGTGGGCACACCCCACCTGCCTGCACACGCACGTGTGCACACCTCAGTACGTGTGTACACCCCACCCACATACTCCCATGCACACCCCAGACCGCGAGCACACGCCCAGCCCACGTGCACACCCCCAGTACCGTATGTACACCCTCAGCCCCGTGTGCACACCCCATCCATGTTAACACACATGTGCACAACTCATCCCGTGTGCATACCCCACCCGTGCGTGCACACACCCGCGTGCACACATGTGTGCACACCTGAGCCCGCGTGCGTAGCCCAGGACCACGTGCACACCCCACCCGTGTGCACACCAGGACCAAGTACACACCCCAGCCCAGTGCACACCCCACCCGTGTGCACATCATGAAGTGCACACCCCAGCCCGCATGCACACCCCACCCACTTGCACACCAGGACCGCGTGTAAACCCCAGCCCATGTGCACACCCCAGCCCGCACACCAGCCCTGTGTGCACACCAGGCCCATGTGCACACCCCAGCCCATGTGCACACCCCCAGCTCCATGTGCACAGCTCCAGCCTCACGTACACACCAGCCCCGCATGCACACCCCGAGCCCCTTGTAAAGCCTCAGCACTGCGTGCACACCCTCAGTCCGCCTGCACACCAGTCCTATATGCACACCAGGACCACGTGCACACCCCAAGCCTGTGTGCACACCCCCAGCCCATATGCATACATCCAGCCTTGTGTGCACACATTCAGAACGTTGTGCACACCCCAGCCCCGTGTGCACACCAGCCCTGCATGCACACCCCCAGCCCCGTGTGCACACCAGCCCTGCATGCACACCCCCAGCCCCGTGTGCACACCAGCCCTGCATGCACACCCCCAGCCCCGTGTGCACACCAGCCCTGCATGCACACCCTCAGCCCCGTGTGCACACCAGCCCTGCATGCACACCCCCAGCCCCGTGTGCACACCAGCCCTGCATGCACACCCCCAGCCCCGTGTGCACACCAGCCCTGCATGCACACCCCCAGCCTGTGTGCACACCCACACTGTGTGCACAACCCCTGGGCACTCAGGGGAGGCAGGAAGGATGTGGCCGGCAGTGAATCTCTCTGTCTCTCTGTCTGTCTCTCTCTGTGTCTCTGTGTCTGTCTGTCTCTCTCTGTGTCTCTGTGTCTGTCTGTCTCTCTCTCTCTCTGTCTCAACGCTGGTACTAGGACTTGAACTCAGGGCCTGGGCACTCTTCCTCTGCTTTTTCCCTCAAGCCTGGTGCTCTGCCACTTGTACTACAGCCTCCACTTCCATCCTTTTGCCGGTTCATTGGCGATGAGAGTCTCTTGGACTTGTCCACCTGGGGTTGGGCCTCCAGCCACGATCCTCACACCTCTGCCTCCTGCGTAACTCCAGACAACAGACACCAGGCAGCCGCGCCCGGCTGGTTTCCCAGGGAGACCTCTGTGCCCGGGTGCCCTAGCAGCGGGGGAAACTGAGGCACAAGCTCATAGCCAGGCAACAGCCCAGAGAGATGTCGGAACCAGGCAGGCAGCCGGGCTCAGCTGAGCCGAGAAGGCCCAGCCTCTTAAACCAGAGCCCCGGCATAAACCGTGATGGCCAGCCGGGCGCCATGGCTCATGCCTGCCATCCCAGCAACTCGGGAAGCTGAGATCTGGAGGACGACGGTTCAAAGCCAACCCAGGCAGGGAAAAAAAAATCCAGAGACTCTTATCGCCAATGAACCAGCAATAATAATTAATGATGATGATGATGATGATGAATACAAAGTAAAACCAAAAGGCAGACGTGGAGGTGTGGCTCAAGTCACAGAGTAGCAACAGCTACCTGGCACCCCCAAAATTAACTAAATAAATTCAAGCCATTAATTCTGCTATTCCCACAGCAGCTGGCCCAGCGGGTGATGCGGCTCTTTATCCACTGTGGGTGGTGGCTTTAGCTTCAGGACCAAGATACTGGTTGATTCACGTCCACAACCAAAAATCTCCCTCCTCCCCCTCCCACCCCTCCTCCCAGAACTGATTTAAAGCCAAAACGCTGAATGCTAAAAAGAAAAGAAAAAGAAGTTTTGACTGCCATTAAGGCCAATATTCTGGAACTATCGTCTGCACCTGAACTACCAGAAAAACAGCACTGCCATAATTCCTTTTTCCTCTCTGGATTTCTCATTACATTTTCTTCATATCAAAAAAAAAAAATCCTACCATGATTAACCAAGGATCGGAATTCATTTTTTTGTTTTCAATACACCTGGGTGGCCATTCTAAACCCCTGATTCCAAAGATCTAGCTCTCTCCCCTAAAGAAGCCTCCCCCGGAACATCGAATCTCTGGATTTCTTAGATGTCAGACTCACATCAGTGTCACACACACA